TGGGAAATGCTAGTGGTACATTGAAGGTAACATAAAAGATAACATAATGTGAGTGAGGTGGGTCTCATGCTACAGTATCGTGGGCCCCCACCCCCACTCACATTATGTCATCATTTATGTCAACCTCAATGTACAAGTAGATTAATCCAAAAAAAATGGTTGGTAACTTTTTGTCTCTTGTGGGTTTCACAAGTAAATCTTTAAAAAAATATAAATTTACATTTTTTTTATATTTTCTGTTGAAAGATGCATTTTGCATTCAAGTTTTTAATAGAATCCGTAGATTCAAGTTTTTGTAATTTATTAATCACAATGAATTGTGATTGTAAAATACAAATTACATATGATTGAATCTTAGATCATCCGTGATCATAAGTAATAATGAGATACATATATCGTTATTTCAGATAGATTATCACGTGTGACACTTTTTACTTGTGAAGTAAGTAGCTGATCTAACCAACTAAAGTGTGGTAACATTTAAATGAACACGTGGATACTTTGTTATAAAACAAAACATTGGAGACCCACTGAGGGAGATTCCACATGGATAACTATTTGAGTGTCAGTTGTTAATCTCTAACGTTCGATAGTGAAATTGGCCATTTGACTTGAGGTCATCATAGTGCCTTATATAATGATAGTCATACTTTGGTGATTTTGGATGTTGCTCTGCTAAGGGTCACTAATACGCCATCGTTCGGGTATGTTAAGAATCATATGAAGGTTGTGAATGATCAATAGAGGATTCATTACTCTTAAATAGTAAGAGATTATGATTTACATTTCATTCAATTAAATTAATAATGAAATCATTGCCCAATGTGTATTCATAAGTTGAAAAAGTGTTTTCGACTTATAATAACTTAACCGTGGGATGAAAGATATGATCGATAATTAAGATTGACACATGGAACATATCTCGAAATTGATCGGATCATGTTGACGAAATGATTATAATTTTACGATAAACGAACAAGTTTGGTTTTGTCATACCACACGACATTTTCCGTCACATATATTGTCCCGACACATTGTTAGGTGTCATTTTGGGACGACTGATGTGAATTAATGATAAATTGGACAATGAGTATTTTAATTTATCAATTTTGATTAAATCAAAATAGTAATTCACGATGTTAGGCATCATGATTCAAAACCTGATTGGTCACACACAAAAGGAGGATCATAAAAATGAGATTCACTAATTAGTTAATTAACAAGCATTGTACAGTTAATTAATTGAGTTGCTTGTTAATAGGTTCGAATTAATTAATTGGATTAATTAATTTATGGACCAAATTTAATTAATTAAAGAGGAAATTACAAAAAATCAGTCGTTTAAACTTTCTAATTTAAAATTCAGGTCCAAGGTTTATCTAATCAAAAATCAGGTATGAATTAAATATTTAAATAATATTATAATACTAATATTTCAAACCCTAATTCATTTTCAATCCATATTTCTCTCTCTCTCTCTCTCTCTCTNAATCCATATTTCTCTCTCTCTCTCTCTCAACATTTTTCTCGCCATCTCTCTCTCTTAACATTCCCAGCCCAATTGCCTCCCTCAGAGCTACCGTCACAAGAAGCAGCTATAGCGGTGCTCCTCTCGCCGCCGCTCTCTTTCTCTCTTCATCCCTTATCTCGTCTTCTCTCATGAAAGTGTCGTCGCCGTACCTGAACTGAGTCGCGACTCTCAGTTCGCACGAGCAGCATATCGTCGTCATCGCATCTGAACTGAGTCGCGACGCTCAGTTCGTGCAAGCAGCAAATCGCCGTCCCCGTCTCACGGATGTGGTGTTTGTGGATCTATTGTGTTTGTGGTGGTGTTTGTGGATCTACTGTGACTAGTAATTTAAATAGTATTGTGGTGTTGTTCGTGGTGGTGTTTGGGTGGGGGGTTTAGGTGGTTGTAGTTGGTGGTGTAGGTTGTGGTTGTTGTGATGGTTTTTGTGGTGTTGGTGGTAAGGTGACGGTTTGACTGTGGAGGTGGCTACGGCTTCGGTGATGGTTTTTTGGTGTTTTGTTGGTGGGCGTTTGTGATATTAGCTGTGGCGACGAGGTGGTGGTGCTGTTGGTTCGGCGACTGTCGCCAGCGGTGAAGGTCATGGGGTGGTCACAGAGGTCGGTGGTGGTCACAGGCATGGTCATAGAAGTCGGTGATGGTTACGGGGATGGTCACATAATCATTGTGCAGTGTCTCGACGTTGGGTGGGTTTGACTGTGTTTTTGTGTATCAGTGGCAGCGATGACACTTGTGGTTGTGATGATTTTTATTGGCAGTGTATTGGGTGACGGCTTTGTTTGGTGGGTTGATAATGGTGGTGGCAGTTGACGGTGGTGCAGGTGGAGGATATGATGATTTTGGTTTTGTGACTAAAAATATAATCTGTGACCTTAAAATTCGGTAATCTGTTACTAGAAATATAATCTGTGACCAACCATTTTTTTATCTGTGATCGTAAAAAAAGTTGTGACCAATTAATTTGAAAATCTGCGACTGTGTGACTTATAAATTTTGATATGTGACCAACTAATTTTGAAATCTGCGACCAACGAATTAATTGTGACCTACAAAATTTTTGAACTGTGACCGTAAATTGTAAATCTGTGACCAGAATGGTCACCGAAATAGTCGCCGGAATAATTGTCGGAATTTGAACAATCGCCGGAACGGTCGTCGGAACAGTTGCCGGAGAAGAGTGGTGGTTGGAATGGTTGCCGGAATAGTTCCCGGAGCAATATGGGTGGTGCATGTGGGATGTATTAATTATATTATATTAGAATTAAATATTTAATAATAAATTGATTTAATAATTTATTATTTCATAAATAAAAAAAAAAAAAAACCTGATTTTTGAATTTTCAAACTATAAATCTGATTTTTGAATTGGTGTAAAGTATACACCTTATTTATGAATTTTTCCCTTAATTAAATATTGAATCGAGTTAAGTTTAAGAGACAGGTCAAGCCCAATTGAACTTATATTAATAAGCCATTGGAGATTCAAAAAAATATAATAGAACATAATTTATTATTTTGCT